GTTATCAGAAGAATAGATAGGATAAGAAAGAATACTCATGGTTTTGTTCTGTGGATCCAGTGTCCCGCAGTTACCTCCCTTGTTTCGTTTGGGCTGTACTGTTTTTGTCAGCTATCTTTCGACCGCCGCAACAATCCCAAATTAACGAAGTTTTGCTGTCACCTCTTTAAACAATATCTACTAAATAAACATAGATTTGTCATAATGCCAATTCATTGCCTTGTAAAACTATTTTGTTTTACAATGGTGCACATAAACACACAGATACGTTTATACATGAATGCAAGACTAAAACACATTATCACAATCACAGACAGTCCACAATTCATTACTGGTCGCCACTGTGCAGAGTCCTGTTTGTTTTTCCAACTTAAGTTATCGTGTATTGCTCAAGGACCCGTGACTACCCTCCCCACCGCCACCCCCACCCCGCCCCCTAAAATGTCTGTGTCACCGACACACACTTGAGACACACACTGGACTTGCGTTTATCCATGCAGTTTTGAACCAAAACTGTTGAGCGGACACTCATATTTCAAAGGTGAAAAGGGAAAGCAATAGCTGAATTCTATATTCTAATGTTATAACGACATAATGACATCGGAAACCTACAATTTTATATATATTTTTAGGCACAACATCTTTAAAAGCATGCGCCGTCATGCTCTTATTGAAAGTGACTCAAAGGCCTTCGCCGCCATAATCATTTAGATAACGACATTTCTACCATTCGCACAATAATAACTAAAACACGATGTCAAACTTCTATATTTATTATGTATGAGATTTACTGTTTTATAGTAGTACATTGTTTGTGGGTTTTGGGGTTGTTGTTTTTGTTGTTTGTTTGGGTTTTTTTTTTGGGGGGGGAGTTGCTTTGTTTTGTTTTGCTTCTAGTTTTTTGCTGCTGTCTGTTTCTCCTTTTTGCTGTTTTTTTTTTTTTAATTCCTAATTATTTCTTGTATTCTTTTCTTGAGAAACCACATTTATCATAACATGTCCCTTTGTTGTCTTGCCACACACGCACATTTTGCCACCACTTTGTCTCTTTGGCTGGCTGCAAATTTGCTGTTTTCTCTGCCTTTTCAAATTGCGTTCCATTTCTCTGTGAAAGTCTGGGTACATCGTCAAAACTGTATCTGAACTAACAGAAATTTCACATACTCGTAATTTGCGCGACGACGTAGATACTGAAGACAGTTTTTAAAATCATTTATAGTTACTGCTGCTGCTGTTGTTGTTGTTGTTGTTGTTGTTGTTGTTGTTGTTGTTGTTGTTGTTGTTGTTGTTGTTGTTGTTGTTGTTGTTGTTATTGTTATTGTTGTTGCTGTTTGTTTGTTTTTTTACCCGGAGGGGAGGGGGTGGTCACGGGAAATTATTTTAATTTACATTATTTTATAACAAGGAACACTTAAATTTATTTGATATTTATTTGATACCGAAAAAGAGACAGGTTAATTGTGCAAAGAAAATACAAAACAGAATTTAATATTTGTAAATTTACCCTACAACTTGCGGCCTAAGCTGACGTACTTTGGCATATTTCACTGGTCCTTTCCCCCTTCTTTCTCTTTTTTCGAAATGTCGTTTCTAGAAGAGTGGCGTGTATGTATACCGTTTAATCATTTCGTCGACATACTCAAACGACGCGAGGTCGATTTCTGTATCGGGAATATTTGTATCGAATATCTATGTTCTTGTACTAGAGCTCTGAATCTCTCTCAGCCCAGGTGGGTCCTGACAGATAAGGTTGAGCCCCGCCAAAGTGATCTAATTTAGGTCGATTGGGGTGTAGTTTACATTAACTTCTAGAAGTGAACAAGACTTAGCCGCCTGGGCTATTGCAGATGTCTTGTGAGTTCTGATCTGATCCCAGGTCGCTCCTTCTAAAACATTCGCTATTCACTGATACAGCTCTCTGCCTAAGAAGGGAAAACCACCGCCATCATTACCATCACAACATAATCAGTGAGAATTATATCAACAATAACAAAAACAGCTACAGCAACAGCAACAACGACAAAAACAGCAACAACAACAAAAACAACAACAGCAACAACAACAGCAACAACAACAGCAGCAACAATATTGTGCAGCTCGGAGCCCCAAGATTTGGAGCACTGGCTGCAGAGGTCCGGCGGGGGCATCTCTTCGGGGAGGATTCAGGGAGGTTGGAGTGACTCACCCGCTACCCAAGAGAGGCGGTGGCCCTGGCGAAGAGCACACACACACACACACACACACACACACACACACACACACACACACACACACACACATACACACACACACACACACACACACACGCACACACACGCACGCACGCTCACTCATACACACACATACACACACAGCAGCAGCAACAACAAAAACAACAACAAGAACACAATAACAACAAAGACAACGATGACCACGCGGCGACGAGGACAATAGCCATATTTAGAAGAATGAAACACAAAAATGGCATCGTGCAGAACACACCAACTCAACACCGTCTGCA